ATTCAATTTGCTTACTATGTTTTTCCTTTTTTTCGATTCACACTGGTAAAATGAATAGTACTTAATTGAGTAAATCTGAATTATAAAGAATGAGGGAATGCCAAATTGATGGCATAATCAGTGCTAGGACTTACTTACTTTTGTAAAGTATTACTAAAGAAAAAAAATGAAATATTTATTTTTTATAAGCGTCAAAATAATTTGACATTCAAGTAGTATGCTATGCGTATATTTTTTGAATAAATTTACAATTACTATAGGTATTTCATCCTGAATTTCACATTGTATAGATCATCAAGCCTGAATTTCACGTTGTGTAGATCACTTATCACCGAGCTTGTAATTTGAATAAATTTTACTTTGTCATTTGAAGTATCATGCGCTTAAACTTCTACCTGAAAAAAAAACAGAAAAGTCATTTGCCAGATTAAGCAAATACGTTTAATCAATTTGATAACAAAATTTATACTTGTGCAGTCTATTTTTATCCCAGCAAAACTGGGATAAATATTTTCAGGAAAGCTTAGACTGACTCAGTAACTTTATGTCCTTCGGCATTTTCAAATTCTAATGATCTAGATTTTACACTGGTTATTTCTTAGAATATGAAATGCTTTTTAAGAAATGACTAATGCTTTATTTCCAATTTTTTGTGCTTTTTAACTCTTAGTGTAAAAATGTAATACAAGTCAATACGTTTAAATTGATATAAATTAATAGCGAATATCAAAAGTAGGAAAGCAGTAATGGATTAAAAACGGAAATTTTTTGTTAAAACGAAACATAATTGCAAATATTTGAAAAATTAAATATTGCAAAAAGAAAATTTGCTGTCAATGTTTTATTTGCATAACCATTTTGTGTAAGAATTTAGCTTTAATAATTTTATTTGATATCCAATACAAATATCCTAATTTTTTGCCTCACAATTTTATTATTTTATTTCAAATTATTCATTATTTTCACGTAAGGTAAGCCAGATTCTTTTGTGATTGCAAGGCTGAATTCATGAAACTACTTGAAAATTCACGTGGAAAGAATATGTGCAAATTTCCCTGACAAATTTCAAATTTTTTCGAATCAAAAATTAGTCTTAAGCATTTTTTGCATAATATCGTGAATAATATATTCAACTACAATATTTCTAGCAAATAATACAATTTTTGAAGTTTTTCATGCATTTCGAAAAGTAATAATAATTGAGGTAAAAAGCCTTAAACGCTATAACTAACAATGCTCAAAAAATACAATTTGCTTTTATGAATAATTGGTCGCCTACTAGTTGGTGTGATTTCTGCGCCATTAAAACTTTAAGATTGTTATTCTTAAACATAAAAAATTTAAACTTTTAGGTAAAAACATATGCTGAGAAGGACCGCACAGTCCAAAAAGATTCTTGCAGTTTTGTTAGCACAAATTTTTTATGAAAAACTTAGTTCTCGAAGCGAAACAAAAGATTAAACACTATAAAAGGTGGCAAAAAAACAAAAAGTTTTAGAACAAACATTAATTAATTCAAAAATAATCAAACAAATTACTACTAGAAATTTAACTTAATTAGTGAATATAAGAACTCGGAATCAATGGATGCTTTTTTATTCAGTGATTTAGAATGGTATTGCTAAGTAAATAAGTCACAGTACTTGTCAAAATTCTGAAAAATAGTTTCAGTTCACTTTCAAAATTAATTAGTTTTTATTTTATAAATTTATAGTTTGTTTAGTTGAATTTCGAATTTCAGTCCTGAAAATCAATTTTAAAAATATTTAAAGGTTGATTAGCAATTAATACAAAGTATTACTTTTAATTAAGAAATACTTTAATGCTTTGAAAGTGCAGTAAAAGACATGTGTTTCCTTCATAATTTAGTAGTATTATTATTTTTTCAAATCATTTTCAAGAAAGTCAAAAAACAAATTTTATATTTTGAAATAATCCAAATCCGATCTGATAAATATTGCTTGCTACTATTTTATCACTACTGTTAAAAGGACTTTTAACAGGTCTTTACGCTTACTTAAACGTTTGAAGTTTGATTACTCAGAAAACAACACTTCTCAGTATGTTCAGCACCTAATTTCATTGTGACTGCCCTAAACTTCTACTGTTCTTTTTGAGGCCATTATTAATAATTATGCAAATTATATAATTTCATAGCTTTCTACACGCGCCATCAAGAAAGGTCTGTCGTGTGCTATTTTGCTTTCATAAATAATATTTTATTGTCATATTTACTACTCTTTTAATGATTTGGTGCATTGAACCATTATTTTTCTCTATTATTAAAAACTATTATTCATGGAC